TCCAGGCACCACCAGTCAACACTAGAGCACCTTTTGCTATGTACAAAGGATGGACCATCAATCAGGAGCCCATACTTTACTGTTTTTCAAAGAGCTTTGATGGAGATAGTTTAGCTAAATGAGAACATAAAAGAGACCTGCCACTTGGATTTCCTAATGTACTATGTTTGGGTTAAGGGTGTGTAGTGCCATGTGGTTACCTGTTAGCATATTCTATGGAAACTGCATGCTCACTAGTTTGCCTTCCGCTTCTAGATAGGACTATAGGTATTATACATAATCCCTAAAGCCAAGGACAGTAACTGGCATGTACCTGGTGATTAAGGAATATTTGCTGAGTGAATGAATGAATAAATAAATGTAGTTGAGGCATTTTTCTCTCCCTGGGTTCTTGAGAACATATTTCAACTTGTACCATGCTCCACGATACCAGTGCCAGATTAAAAAAAAAAAAACTTTTTGATTTTATGATGCACCCAGAATTTCGTGTATAAACATTAAATGAACAACTTCGATAATTAAAATACTTGTCCATCTATGTTAAATCTTTGTGTACTCTCTTCAACGACTAGGAAATTACTGGGAGCTCTAACTCTATACAGGATCTATTTTTTTTTTCTCTAAAAACAGAATAGAACCTTTTAAGAAAGTAAAAATGTTTCCCACTTAACATTTCTTTAAAAATGCACAGAATAAGAAGATTCATTTGGTGGACATGTTCTCTCTCTTTATCCTGACATCAGTTCAGTGCTGAGGAACTATTATTAGAAAGCTCTCAGTTGAAGAAGATGCCTTCAAAAAGGAAGAGAAGATATATGATATTGTGTGTTCAAAGCTAATTTTAATTATGCAGGCTATAGGGTTACTGAGATATGCCAAACATTTAGCTAATTAGCAGACTCTTGAGACAAGAGGGCCGCTAGAGATAGACACAGTTTTTCCTCATTAATGAGTGATGACAAATTCTAGTTAAACACACATTTTTACTTGTACTATAAATACACTTTATTTATTCTTTCTTAAATTCCAATAATATGAACTAATTTAAACTTGAAATTTAGACATTAAGACTAATATGGCAATCTTCCACTTTAAACACAATGACCCAATATCAACCATCACATTGGGAAAATAGACTAAAAATTGAAATTAGTTAGGAGACTCCATTTTAAAAGATCACTTACTTTATTCCTCAAAACAGTCCGGGAAAGTATAAATCATTTTTCTTATTTTATAGATAAGGGATCAAGGCATATGGAGTTTGAGTAAGGTCATCTGGTTAGAAAGTAGCTTGGCTAGGTTTGGTGTTAGATTGCTTCTTCTGGGCTCATTACTGAAGTTAGCCTGTATCTGAGAAGACCTTAAGAATAACAGAACTGGTTTTTGTTTGTCTGTCACCCTGGATTAGATACATTTAGCTCTTTGGGTATAATCTGGTACTTACAAAGGTGTCTACCTCAGGACACAAGCATGAGGTAAATGTGTTTCTCTGTCAGCTTTTCTTTCAGAATAAAAAATAGATCTAAGGACATGATCTAAATTTTCAATCTGAAATCAGTGGGATTGTCCATCATGCTTTTCACAGAAAGTGGTCCTTCCCCATCCTGAAATTTGAACAGGCTGGTGGTTGCAGCAGATTGCAGTTCCCAAAGATAGCTGCTTCAAGTATCTCCTGTTTCTGGTGCTCCTCTGCCATGAAACTTTGCTACTTTCCCAACAAGAGTTGAAGGCTATTTTTCCACTCCCTTGGATATGGGCAGGCTCTGTGACTGCTCTAACAAACAGAATGGGAAGAAGTACTACTGCTTCTAGGAAGCCAGTTGTATGATGAGAAGCATGACTACTATCTTCAGACCACGATGTTGTGAGAAACCCAAGCTATGTGGAAAAGTCATTTGCTGATGGCCCCAGTTGAGCTCAGTCAACATCAATTGCCAGCCCTATGAAGGAGCCACCTTGAACATCCAGCCCAGCCAAGCCTTACGATAACTGCAACGTAAGCCAGCACCTAAATGAAAGTTGTGTGAGAGATCTTAAGCAGGATCTGTCTAGCTGAACTCAGTTAATCCACAGAACCGTGACATAATAATAACTTATTATTTTAAGACACTGCATTTTGGAGAGGCTTGTTACACAGTAGATAGTAAAAACAGTGTGCTGGTTTTCTTCTAGAATGAAGCAACTATTTCTTTAAAGCAATTGCGAGTAGATTTTGGGGGCAGAGGATATGTTAAAATCTCACACATACCCTAAGTGGTGGCTAAGTAATTTTCTAGGGTGAGGGTTATTTCTATAAAGAATCGAGGGACTATGAAAATGTGTCTACATAAACATTTTTATATTTTGGGCTACTTCTCAATAAATTTGGCATACAGAGGTATTCAAAGCTGATATTTTGTCAAGAAAACAGTGGGAGAAGGGGTGGTATATATATATATAATGGAATATTACTCAGCCATCAGAAAGAATGAATACCTACCATTTGCTTTGATGTGGGTGGAACCGGAGGGTATTATGCTGAATGAAATAAGTCAGTTGGAGAAAGACAATTATCATATGGTTTCCCTCACATGTGGAATATGAGAAACAGTAAAAGGGATTATAAGGGAAAGGAGGGAAACTGAGTAGGGGAAAACTAGAGAGGAAGACAAACCATGAGAGAATCCTAACTCTGGGAAACAAATAAAGGGTTGCAGCAGGGGAATAGGGCAGGGAGGATGAGGTAACTGGGTGATGGGCATTACAGAGGGCACTTGATAGGATGAGCACTGGGTGTTATACTATATGTTAGTCAATTGAATTTAAATAAAATATTAAAAAAGAAAGAAAAAAATAGAATGGGTTCTTGGCAAAATGATTAGAAAATATGGAGTCAGTTTACCATAATGCTGTCAAACTATTCTCCTTTTTCAAAGCAATAGCCAAACAAGATTTAGTCACTGAACAGCCTCAGAATGCCAATAACTTGATTTAAATTTAAAAGTAAATTTACTATTTACTTTTTGGAATTTTACCAAATTCCACCTGAGCTGATAAGAGAGAATTCAGCACTAATGATCCCAAGAAAGAGAATAAAATGCTGGGAACAGAAGGATGTTCTAAAAATTCCTGAAGGTTAGGTATAAGAGAAAATAATGTTTAGATAAAAAATAAACTCTTTTTTCCTAGGGGCTGTCAGAAGGCCAGCACAGAGTCTGTCAAATCTCTTCAGCCTCTGGAGCTACTGCTTGGTTTTTGTTTGTTTTAACAATGACCTTTAACAATGACCTTATATTGGCAGGCAATATACTGAATCATGAAAGAAAAATTTACTACTATTTAAAATCTTGCCCTTATAAATAGAGGGCAAATATATATATAGATATATATATATTTTAAAAACTGTTCAATAACAAGGCAAGAATAAAGAAATTATGGTTGCTTGATTAGCACACTCCATTCCTGGGGCAATTTGGTTAACTCAAGTTTTCTGTCATTAACTCTAACAATAAGATTTAAAAATTATTGCCATTTTGCTAAATAATGGAGTTTCACAACAACAGTACTTTCATTGAATCTTTTAAAGAACTCCTAAAAAAGACAAAGTAATTTGTCCACATGGTGAATGTGTTCCCCTCTCTAGTTTATTAAGTCCTGAAAAGTTATATAAGGGCGCATTCGTTCATTTATTATGCCAACTATGGCCAAATGAAGTTTCCACTGATTCTCGAGTTAGAAACTGGGTGAACTCTCCTTTTCCTGCTACTCTCAGAGATTTCCATTACAAGAACTAGGGCCACAGGGGCACCTGGGTGGCTCAGTCGTTTAAGTACCTGACTCATAATTTCAGCCATTTACCTAAGGAGTCTTGGTTCCTTTTTTTCCAGAATTGTACTAGACACAAGCGGGTATGCTTGTTGCTACTGGGGTATCATTGCTTCTAGGTCCTCTTAGCTGACAGAGCAAGAAAGTGTGTGTGTGTGTGTGTGTGTGTGTGTGTGTGTGTGTGTGTACACATCTCTACATGTGCATATACATTTATAATCACATGTATCTACATGTGTATACATACACAAATATATGCAGGTGCACTCGTGTATGTGTATTTACACATAGCTATTAATATTTCTACACATGTCCATCTGTATCTCCATTAGGCTATCAATTCACACTGATGTCTCCAACTCTGATCCATTGCCACAGGATGTGTCTCTTTTTATTTCCCCCTAGAAAAAGAGAGTGAACAGGAGGAGGAGTAAGGGAGAGAGAGAGAATCTCAAGGAGGCTCTGTGCGAAGTGGGGCTTGATCTCATGACCCTGAGATCATGACCTGAGCCAAAATCAAGAGTCAGGTGCTTCACTGACTGAGCTACCCCAGGTGTCCTGCCATAGGATGCTTCCTTTGTGTTTTTACAACCTCTCACTCCAACAGTGAGAAGAAACCTGGCTCCACTATCCAGCCACTACTAATTAATTGTAGTGCTTTTAGAATTGTTAACTCTTAGCTCCACAGTAAGAGTATAGTGCTTTATATACAGTTACTTTTACTTATAGTTTTGACAGATTCCATTCATTTCCAAGGTTACTTAGGTCAGCACATTTCCCTCCACCATTTTCAGGGAGGTTATTTCATGTATTTATAATACTGTTATTAGATTCCTTTGTCAGTCTATATTCTACTCTGGGATTCTGTGACTTCCTACATGTCTTTTTTTCTAATTTATAAACATTAAAGTTCACTCTCTTTGTTGTAGTGCTCTATGCATTTTAACAAATGCAGAGTGTCATGTATCTACCATTACAGTTTATTATAAGGAATAGTTTCACTACCTTAAAATATCCCCTGTGAACAGACTCATAAGTACAGAGAACAAACTGGTGGTTGCCAGAGGGGAGGGGGATGGAGAGTTGTGGGGATGGTCAAAATAGTGAAGGAAATTAAGAGGTACAAACTTCCACTTATAAAATAGGTAAGACATAAAGAGATAAAAAGTACAGCATAGGAGGTATCTTTGAGCTTGATGAGTAGGCAAAGCTCACCTTCCTCAGTTGAAAAATTTATGGACAAGAAATTATCATTGAAATTAAATGGTGGCAGACACGTCCAAGGAATATTGCCGGGGGTTCGATCCATTTGTGAACATATTCACATGGATGAATGTGTGGAAATGGCAACTAGTGGGCAAGAGAACAATAGTGGAATGGTGGCAATATGAGGAAATAGTATCATATTAGAAGCTTTGGAATGACTATAAACAATGGGTGTGTTCCTCAAAAGACACCAACTGCTTCCATATGTCCCTTGTCCATAGTACCTGTTTTACTACAATATAAAAATCACGTTGTATACATCTTCATATTGAACTTTTTTGTTAAATAAACTTTTATAGTAGTCAAAAGAAAAGTACAGCACAGAGAACATAGTCAGAAACATTGTAATACATTGTTATAACATTGTATAGTGACAGATGGTGACTATACTTATCCTGGTGCACATTGAGCAATACACAGAATTGTAGAATTACTATGTTGTACACCCGAAAGTAATATAACATATGACAACTATACTTAAAAAAAAAAATCCCCTCTGATTCACATAATCAATCTTCCTTTTCCCATAAACTCCTGGAAACTACTGATCTGTTTACCACACCTCTATGGTTTTGCCTTTTTCTGAATATCATATAGGTAGAATCATACTGTATATATTGTTCAGACTAGATTTTTTCACTTAGCAATATGCACATAAGATTCATGTTTTTGCACGGATGGTAGCTCATTCCTTTTTATCATTGAATAGTATCTCATTGTATGGATGTACTAGTTTGTTCATTCACCCCTTAAAAGACATCTTCCTTTCTTCTAGTTGTTTTGGTGATTATGAATAAAGTTGCTATCAATGTTCACATGAAGGTTTTTGCTTAATCATAGTTTTCTTTCTTTCTTTTTTTTTTAAGATTTTATTTCTTCTCAAGTAATCTCTACACCCAATGTGGGGCTTGAACTTACAACCCCAAGATCAAGAGTTACACGTTCTATTGACTGAGCCAGCTAGGTGCCCTTGAACATAGTTTTTCTAGGGCTGTGATTGCTGGATACATGTTGAGACTATGTTTAGTTTTGTAAGAGATCTGAATCCATATTGTTCAGAAAAAAAATGTATACGTATATAAGGCATAAATCATAAAGTTATTATACAATTTATGACTGATTTTATTTATTGATATTCATTTCTGTGTTTCCCAAGAATGTTTTAAAGTAATTCAAGCAACACATATATAATCATGAAAAAGTTAATTTAAAAAGTACAATTAGATAAGGGGCTAACAGGATTCAACCAAATTCAATACTATGTATTGTTTATCTTGTTTTATTAGCCCACCAGCCAGCTCCCAGCCAGCTGATTCTTTGACATGAGCTTACACGCTGTGAATGTTAAGGCATCAACACAGACTGTGAAGCATTTCACTATAATGAGATTCTCTGTTCTTTCCTCACAGCTTGTGTTCCCTGACATTCCTTTTCAGGAGAAGTCAAGGAACCCGGCTTAGCATTTGAGAAACTCAGATTCATGTCAGTGCTGCTGTATCTCACTTCTAATAATGAACCTTCTGCTTTATTTCTGAGACCAGTCTTTACTTAATTTTCCAGTTCCAATCAACAGACTCCTATCTTGTTTCTGGTCTAAGTGCCCTCAACTGTACAGATCCATAAAGTATATATATAAAAAAAAGGTTTTTCTCCAATTAAGCAAGCCCTGAAGCGATCTAGTTAGGAGAAGTCTGTCAGTAAATGAAAATCTGTAGTATACCATCACACATTGACAGGAACAAAAAAAAAAAAAATTGGGTCTGCTCATTACATTTCAGAAAGTATCACCGTCATTATCCATTGTTTTAATTTTCAAAGAAGGAGGAAATTTGGCATCTCTTATCACACAAAGTACAGAGGAAATAAATTGAATTAGACTTACCATGAACACAAAGCAGGCAGTTACAATGGCATCTTCATATATTTACTATAATGTTGACAAGCTAAAATAATACATTCTCCTCCCTCCAAAGATGAAGTATGAATTTTTTATGCCTGGTTATTTATTCCCATCTTTTCCGAATGACAGGTATAACATCTATTGTTAGAATTACTGGGAACTTTATAAAAACAAATCACGTGGTAAGCAAATCCCGTACCTCTGTTAATACTGGGTGTTATTTGCTCACAAATAAAGTCCACAAAAAGAGAGAGAGAGAGAGACTTATCAAAGCCCAGACTCAGAAACATTACTATGTATTTTTGATACTCTCATCTCCAGGGCATAAATAATTAATTTCGAGTGGTGTTACCTCACTGAGTTTGCCAACTGATGAGTAAAACGTATATGCTTTGATTTTATTTTTAGTACAGCATAAGAGATAAGAGAGAAATATGAACAACCTGCAGAAAAGGCACACCACTGTGTTTTTGCTCCAGATACTTTAATAACCGTGGTGGAGACTTTGGTGGCTCTCTCAAATGTCATTTATTTCCCCTCACTCTGTGGTTAGAATTGAGCCACTTGGGTAAAAAATGCTTATGTTTCGGTGTGATGAATAAATCCAGTATCTAGAATGACCATGGGGGTCAAACAGAATCAAGCTCTGAAGAGGGCTCCTTTCCTGCTTTCTATTTGAATATCAGGGTACTGCTCTTGCAGAAGAGGCCAAAACTCGAACTCTAAGGTCCTATTTGTGTTGGCTGTACTTTTGAAAGTTACACGGGGGAAGTTCCAGAGGACAAATTAGAAGCTATCCTTTACTGGGCAAGCAAAGGTCAAAAGTAACTACGTTCAACAACTCTTAGACGGCACCTTGCATCAGAGGAAAGCATATTTAAAAGCAATCACATTTTGCAACAATACTGAGAAAAGGGAAGTCATTATCAACACCCTGCATCTTTAAATTAGAGGAGCAGAGGTCTGTTTATTCTCTAGTTACAAATGCTGCAAACTGGCTAAAGCATGTGGCGCTCTGTAAAGCAGAAATTAATGTGGTGACGGAAAACAAAACAAAACAAAAACAAAAACAGAAAAACCCAGCTAAAACACACCAACTAACCAAAACACTTCACAACGCACTCCATCAGCTTCCCAGCCCACTCATTATTCATGCCGTGTCTCTGTGCTTGGCTCTCATTATTCTGTTGCTTGAAATCCCCTTCCCAATCTCATCTGCCAATGAAAGCCTGCTTTCCACTCAAGGCTCTGCTGCAATGCCAGCTCTGTGAATCTTCTTAGATATCCCATAAAGGTCCCCCACTCCATTCTGGTTCTCCCCAAAGACTTCAAAAGCCTCTATTAGAGACTTACAGTATATCTATCTGTCTGTTTCCTGGAGTTTCCTGAGAGTTAACAACCATGCCTCGCCAATCTTCATATTCTTTCAGTGCCCCAGACAATGCCTAGCTGCCAGGGAGAATTGAATCCATTGAAATACGGATTTACTCAAGAAACACATTGTACCAGGGCCCTAATACTGTTCATCTGCATATGGTCAGTTCACTGCATTAATATGGGAAAGAAAAAAAGCCATTTGAAATAGGATTTCAGTCATGGTTTGCTATGCTGGCTATTTGAATGATTACGGTAGTTGCTCTAAAACCCACCTTTGATTCATTGATTTCTGTATCTACTCTGAGTATATACTTTGATGCCACTTCTTGGTGGGAGAGTGAAAGGTGCTATGATGATATACACTGTGCCTTACTTGTGTTTCTACCATGGAATAACAACTAACCTTAGAATTGCATCCAGGTGTCCTTTCAACTAGTAACAAAAATAATCACTATAATTTGCATTGGGCTTTATGTTTACAAAGCACTTTGGTGGACATTCTTTTTATTCTTATAATATTCTGTTCCTGAATCAGGAACTGTGCCTCTGTACAACACTTGAAACTTAGAAGGCTGATTCGACAAATCCCTCATCCTTAAAGAATTACATACACTCTTCTGTTCTACTCTAAAACAAATTATCACAGTGCCAGCAAAATCTGTTAAAACCTTGAATGTACCGGGCTCAGGTACCACAAAAAGGCTAGCTGGAAAAAGGATGTCTTCCAAGAAAGATGACGAGGTAGCACTCTTTCCCCTATTCCTTTCAAGCCACAACAAACATAGTAAAAGAGAATACTACCCAAACCCTCCACTCATAACAGCTGTTATTCCCTTAAGAAACTAAAAGGTTTAGGTGATCCTCTAATTCTGTGGAAGAACCAGAGGCTGATGTCAACATCATGTGCGTGGGAGAAGAGGGAATGAGAATGGGATCCTTGAGTTAGAAGGTGAACTTCAGGGAGAGGTCAAGTGCTCAAGTGATTGTTTCCGAAGCTGCTCTAGGAAGAGGTTCTCTTTGTCTAAAGTCAGATACCCTCAAACCACTCTCCATCTTTACTTTGGCTTGGGAACCCTGAGTCCTATCTAATTTCCATAAACCAGAAATTCTCTACCTCAAGTCCAGATGTCCCCACACCCCCCGCAACCCACCCAACTCCAGCCCCAGCCTGAGTGAGCTCCAAACCAACCTGTACTTGGAAGGAGAAAGGGGAGAGAGAAGAGGTACTTCACAGAGTTTGACCCTTTGTCTGGAATATCAGCTTTACTCTTGTCAGTTTCTTTTACCTTATTCCCAAGAGTGGTAAGAATGTTTAAATGACTTGCGAAATTGGGATAATTCAGTCATGGTTTTTTGTTACTATATTAGCTGCTCTGTGGAGTCACAGAAGTAACCATGGTTGTATTTGTTAAAAAGAATAATTTAAATTGATTCTTAAAAGAGGTCCCAACTAGGAGAACGTCTTCATTGGAATGTCTATATCTTAGTATAATAAACATTATTAATTTAATGTTTATAATATTCATTCACCTAAGTTATCACCTATTTAGAGTGATATAGTGACTGGTTCTTAAGCACTTAGCCCTCCTAGTGATCTACAGTTACAAATGGAATCACAGACTCTTCCCTGGTTTTGGACTGTCTATCCATACAGTGCTTTGGAGAACACTAGCTGCCTACAGAGAACTCCTTTAGCAGTGGGGCAGGGCCACTTGCCAGTGTTCGCCAGCTGGAAATCACTGCTCCAAAAAGAGTTCTCACCAGCTTCTAGAGCATTTCCTTTACTCAAAGATGTCTCCTAATCGCCAAGTTTTCAGTTCTGTAACTGGTTGCTCTGACATTTACTGG